ACACTAGTGATTTAGGGTATATATTGATCTGTTAGAAAAACTGTATCTCAAAATTTTAAAGAGAGAACAACTTATATATATATATACCAAAAATAAGTGTATCTACTCTGAAGGGATAGAATATGACTCTAGAAATGAAAATAAATTTTTTTTTCAAAAAGGGATTGATATGATGTTGGTTGAAAAAGGGAAAAAGAGAAATTCAAAAAAAAAAACAGTTAAAAAATTAACTTTGAAAAACTAATAAATCATGGTAAAAAAGCCATGAATTCTATGTGCAGTATTCCCCTAGCGCTGGAGTTCTCCTGTTCTCCTTAATCGGTAAACTTGGTCTTGGCTGGTTGTTCCTGCTGATCTTCTGGGGGAGGGGCCTGCTGCCGTGGTTCCCAAATGTCTTTGCCGGAGGCGGAATTGCCCCGCCCTTGCCGCTCCGGGCTACACAATCTGCTCGGGTTTGCTCTCCTGAGCTTTTGTTCCTTGCAAGCTTTCCCTACAGCTTTGGACGACGAAAGTGAAAATGGTGGCCTCCCAATCTCTGTCCGGAGGAACCGAGAACTTGGGGCCCCGATCCTCAGTGCACCCCCAGAGAAAAGCAGTCAGTCACTCCCACCTCCCCGGTCTCCGGCCGCACTCCGTGCTCACCTGGCCAGTGACCAAGTGTTTCTATTTCTGGCACCCGACTCGGTGTGGAGTCTCCAAACCCAGCAGATCCCTGCGGTGCGCTCTTGCGCCGCTCCTCCTGGGAGAGGAAGGGGAGTCTCCCCGGATCTGCCGCTTGTTGGGTCCCTGCTGGAGGAGCAGTGGCCCAACTGGGCCGCAGATCACAGTTTATGGCAACCCCGAGCTGAGAGCCCGCGCCTCGGCTCCGTCTCTGCAGCAGGCTTCCCTGCTCTGATACCTGTGAGCTCTGCCGCACTCAGGCACCCCCAGTCTTTCTGTGACCCCAAGGGTCCTGAGACCACACTGTCCTGCGAGGGTTCCAGCCCCCGCTTAGTCACTGGAGCGACGTCCCTCAGCGGAGCCAACTTCTAAAAGTTTCGATTTTTAGACATAAATTTTCAATTCCCCTAGATAAATACCAAGAAGTGCAATTGTTGGATCATATTGGTAAGAGTATGTTTAGTTTTGTAAGAAACCACCAAACTGTCTTTCAAAGTGGCTGTAAAATTTTGTATTCCTACCAGCAATCAGTGAGTGTTCTCCAGCATTAGGTATTTTCAGTGTTCTGGATTTCGGCCATTCTAAAATGTATATACTGGTATCTCATTTTAATTTTCATTTCCTGATGACAAGTGATGTGGTCCATCTTTTCATATGATTATTTGACATCTTTGTATCTTTAGTGAAGTGTTTGTTAAGATCTTTGGCTCATTTTTTAAAATTAGGTTGTTTACTGTCTTACATTGAGTTTTAAGAGTTCTTTGTAAATTTTGGATAGTAGTCCTTTATCAGATGTGTCTTTTGCAAATATTTTCCCCCAGTCTGCGGCTTGTCCTCTAATTCTCTTGATATTGCTTTTCACAGAATGCATTATGGGAATTTTAAAATTATACTATTAAAAAAATAAAACACTTTTAAGGAGCTAACATTATGCTTAAATAAAATTTAAATGCCAACTCTTTGAGATGATGTTCACATGGCAACAACTGGCATAATCATGAGGCATGAGTTTGCCTGTGCTTGGCACAGCAACATAGTATGACATTTCTAGGATATTTCCAAAAGGTTTAGTTCTTGCAAAATGTTTCTTTGAATGTTTAGTCCTTCATCAATCATAATTTAAGGGTAGCCCAGTGTATTGGACTTAAAATCAGTAGATATATGAATAAAAATTGCCTGCTTATTAGCAGTGTGACCCTGTTAAAGATGCTTATCTGCCTCTGAGTTTCTATTTACATAGAAGACAGTAAGAGTATCCACTTCACATATTTGTTGAGAGAATTACTGAGATAAGCTATACAAAGGAGCCTGGAACAGACCCTAGTAATAATCAGTTGTTAGTGCTTTTATCTGACAGTTAACTAACTTTGTATTATTTTGTTGATATACTCAAAAACAACAGATATAGGGAACATTTAGAAAATGTTGTTCAAACCTTAATGTTAATAGCTATTCAGTAGTCCTTAATTTAACTGATGTCTTAGTGTTGGAAATTTACATGTTTTATTTTCCACTCAAAATAATGCTAAATGCACACTTTCTTAAGGACCTGGCAGCCATTCCTTTGAAATGCAATTATCACGATAAAAAGGCTCCCTATCTCCCAGTCTCTATAGGAGGATAAGAGACTAACTTTAATATGCACCAGTTAATAAACACACATGGCTAAACAAGAGCAGAATATGCCACCTAAAAGTATGACACTTTGGTATATTGATTATCTTGAAATAAAGTTACTTAAGAAACAGCTGATGCAAGAAGGATACTCCAACCCTCCTTCTTCCCCCTGAAGGCAGGAAACCAATCTCCCATGTAAAAGCACTCTCTCTGTACCAGGAGGGTAGAAGGTATCCTTACCACCAGAAATAGGAAATTTAGGGCCAAGAAGACTGTATAAACAAACCTTGTTACTTCTTCATTAATTACTACCTCAAGCCCAAACCCATTTATCTTGAGGATTCTTCACAAATTCATTGCTTCCTTGTCTAAAAGATATAAAAGCTGCCTGCTTTGGCCACTTCCTATGTATGAAATTAAATTTGTTTTTCTCCTGTTAATCTGTGTTATGCCAATTTAATTATTAGACCAGCCAAAGAATCTAGAAGGAAAGAAAGGAAAAATTTTTCCACCCTTACATGCCCTAATCACATTGACCAACCTCTCCTTCAATGTCCTCCACTTTTCCAGATCTTAAAAACTCTGCCGCTTTCTGTTTTAAGGGAGTTGACTTTAACCTCTATCCCCTGTTGCAATAGCCTTGATCCCAATTACAATAGTCTTGAAAAAAGTGTTTGTTGCATGTTTAACTTCAACAAATGCAGTTTTCCTTTGACACTTACCATCTTGTTTGAAGGCATCTGAGGAATGATAAAGATTGATGGGGGAATAATAATGTTGAGCTGCTCCTCGCCAACTTGGTGAAGAAACACTCAGGGTTCCTAATAAAGGATTGCTGTATCGTGGTCTGATATTTGAACCAAAGAGGGATGAAGATGAACTCTTTTTAATTCTTAGCAAAGCAGCATATGAAGTAGGGAAATTATGAAGAGCTCCAGAATATTCTGTAAAAACAAACAACAACAACAACAACAACAAAAAAACAGTATTATAAAAAGTGAATTCTGATGAGACTTTTATGTTTTCCTGTGAAAATTATTTTTTCTGAAGACATTGTTAACAACCAAATGAAAAGTACAAAGATAGTGGCAAAATAAAATAATATAAAATAAAACATTACTTTTATATTTTAAAAATATTTTCTGGAAATTCTGCTAGTTTCAATGTTGGGTCTGCAAGAGAGAGGGAAAGAAAAAAAGTCATGAAGGAAGAAAGGAAAGAGAAGAAAAAGAAAGGAGGAAGGAAGAAGAAAAAAAGGGAAAAAAGTAAGAAAGACATCCAAAGATTCAAGTCTTATTTCCTTTTCAGGACTATTTGGGAATTAACATTTTTGTTTATCTTCTTATTAAAATATCCATTCACATACATTAGATCAGTTCCTTATTTATTATTAAAAAATGGGGAAAAAAGGAAAAAATACTGACATTCTCAGTTACATCCTTTAATTATAGATTGAATCTTCATGAGTAAAATTTATCACTTAGTAGGAAATGCATCTAATTGCAGTATGTATTTTGACTAGACTGTAAGTTATGCCCATGTTCTTGACAAACAGTCAAATTCACAATGGAAAATAAACAATTTTGGACAAAATTTGTTTTGTAGATTTTGTTATATAATTTATATAACATAATATTAATTATTAAGTGGAGACACTGTTATGAAATTCCTACATTAATTGATTATTGAGAAATGTCTTGACTATATTTTGTTTTAATTCTCAAGGTTTTTCATTAGAAAAGATATATATAGTACCTGAAGGAGAATATATTAACTCTTTTATGTCCCCAGGAAAGAGAGTCAGGTTAGTGTGTAGATCAAATGTTTAAAAATACAACCTAATTATTATGAAATCTAAAGAACAATTAGGAATTGGAGTTTTTTTCTATGTCAAATCTCAAATGAATTTGACAATTTCTTGATGTTGGAAATATTTTTAAAAATAACACATTTTTGTTGAGGGCATCTGACATTTGAATTTAATGGATGTTAATTTGAAAAAAAATAATTTATCTTTGTGAGTAAGCTTTCTCATAATGAAAATTATTTAGAATTATTGTACTGTCTCAGAGATATTTTTGAATGCAAGAATTATTTCTGTGATTTGAAAATAACACTTTAGTAGGTGTTAAACATTGAATTAAGTATAACATTTTTTGTTTTGTGAAACTGTAAACATGATTTCTCTGAAACTAGAAAAATTGTGTTTTTAGATGTTCAATTTAGATGTTCTGCACATTTAAATTGAGTATGATATGAGTAATCCAAGCCTATCAGGAGCTGTTAAGAGATTCATGTCCTTTAGTCCTTGTGTTCAACTACAATTATGGTGAAGGTGGATCAATTTTAACTGAAAATAGCTAACCTCTCTTGGGCAAACTATATGAGAATAGATTATGGATAGACATAAAATCTCCTTTAAAACCTGGAATTAAATGCAAGTTTTGGCACCTAGAGGTGTAAGGAATTGAAAAGAATTTTTCCTTCAAGTTAGTTTGTAGTTGTGGTCTCTGAACCTATTCATTTCTTTGTGTAGTCTGTTTCTTTGTGTTTCAGTTGCCTACCCGGCTCATATATAAAAAGAAAAAAAAAAAAGAACTGTACCATGCTAGTGTTAAAAATTATAATGGAGCATGAGAATGTGCTTTATAGTTTTTAAAGCTAGAGAAGGATAATCAGTGGACAAATAGAAAGGCCTTCATAAGGATCATCATTGAGGTTGTGAATCATATATGTATATATGATTATTATATATATTATTTGCTAATATATATTAACAAAATACATACTAAGTGCTACAGTAATTGGCTTATAGCAATCTGTATAAATAGAGATGAGCCAAATGATAATTTGGCTGTGTGCTCCACACCAGGGCCTCATTTGTTATGTAGTAAGTTGCATCTGTTGCAGTAGAGAGTCCTTTTCATCAATTAAAGTGAACCCAAAGCTGTTACTAGAAATCTGAGAATTTATTCATTCATTAATGTATTCAGCAAACATGTAATGAGAACTCAGTAGGGGCTAAATGCTAGGGATACAAAGGTGAAAAAGATATTGCACGAAGTGTCAAAAAGCTTGTGATATAGTGATGAAGAAAGGCAATTATAGGAGAACTTTAATCCAATGTGATATAAAAGTAAATTCAAGGAGTTAGGGGCTCCCTCTGATGGGTGGGAAATTTTCTCATCTAGTCTAGGGCCAACATAAAATGCTTTCCAGATGAATTATATCTAATCTGAGTCCTGAAAGACCATTAGTGATTAGTTCAGCAAAGTTCTGGGTAGGGAAGGAAAGATCCTAGAAAGGGAAGAAAATATATGAATACCTGGAAGAGAAAGGCAGCAGGGTGTGCTTGGTAGATTAAAATAATCAGGAGCTCAGAGTGTGAGGGAGAGATGTGAGAGAAGAAGTAAGTCTGGATAGGTAAGCTGGGAATAATGATGAAATGCCTACTATGCCATGCTAAAATGGTAGGACCCTGAAAGGAAAGCAGTATAAATTTTAGAAAGATCTCTCTGGCTACAGTGTCATTTGGAACAAGAAAAAAGAAAAAGAAAAAAGACATATCAAGAGCTTAAACCTGTAATAAAGGCAAAGATTAGTCAGGAAAGAAGAGGTGATATAAGGTAGATGGGAATAAAATCATTAAGATTACTGATTGATTAAAATGGAGGCAAGGAAGGGAAAATAAGAATTTGGGGATACTCTGTGCTACTAGAAGATGGATAAAGATGGAGGAAAAGGCATGTGCTTGAGCTGAAAGCTCATGAATTCAGTTTAGGGGAAGTAGAGGGCTTGAGTTTTGATTAGAAATTTTTGTAAACATAAGGGAGTTACAGGCTAATGAGAAATTATTAAATGGTAACCAAATAGATGGTTATTAAATTATGAGAATAGATGAGCCTACCAAGGAAATGCATAAAATGAGGAATAGAGTGTTGAAAATGGAACCCTGAGAAGCACCAGCATTTAAGAGAATAGCAGAGGTAGTGGAGCCTGTAAAGGAAAGAGGAAAAGCAGGAAAGTGTGAAGTTACTAAAAAGAAGGGAAGAGTCTTTCAATGTTGATGACAGAGCAGTTGACAGTGCTGAAGATCAGTATGGAAAGACTGGCCCTGAAGAGAAGGGGTGTCCCACAGTAATAAAGCTGCCTTACTGTTCCACATAAAATGCACAGTGAATGTGAAAGTGAAAGGAGGTGAAGAGGACTTCCCAAGCTCTGGAAGAGAGTCTGGAACCCTCACAATGCCAATTCCATTGCATTAAACATATAGACCCTGGCCTTAGCCTGTGACATCTAATAGTCTCCCAGTCTGAGCGTAAGTAACTATCAATTCAGTGAGGTCTCCCTCTCTCGGGGGCATTTCCAACTCTTCTACCTGGTGCCCTCCTAGCTATCCAGCCTCCTTTTCTGACACCTCTAATTTCTCCACTCTTTACTCCCAGTTCTGGGGACACTCAGTTCTGGAAAATAGATACATTACTGTAAATAAACGGGAAAATGAGGTTTCCATCCTAAGACTTTGTTTAACCCCCAATTTAGGGAGACTGAATTGATTTAACACATACAGGGTTCAGTTGAGGGTGAAAAATACTGCATCACCTTACCAGGTTTAAATTCAGGTATTTGCATTTCTGTCCATCTCATCTTACTGTTCACCTCTTTCTAGGATCTCAACCTCTTTAAGATTCACAAGTTACTGATCTTAATACCCTTTCAGTCCTCTCATTTCCTCAATTAACTCCCTATCCGGTTTAGAGTTTGTGGTTCATTACCTTAGTTACTTCCTTCAATGTATCTTCACTCACACTGGCCCTTACCCTCTCTAGTTTTCACAGACTAAACTCCCTGTCTACTTTAAATCCAACCATCAACATGCTGTGCTTCTGAGCACAGCTGGAAAAGAACAGAAAATCATGCCTAAAGGTCGCAGTTCATGATATTAACTACAAGTGAGATCTTCAAGTTTCCCAGCAATACTACCACATTTCCCTAGTTCATTTAATATCCCTGGATGGAATAATTTACATCTTGTCTTTTGTCCTCAAGCTCCACACTTTTTTGGGTTTCCTGATTATGGTGCTCCTATTTAATTGAGAAAATAGAAGCAATCATAAGAGTAGATCCCTCACGTGCACCCCCACCTGTATGTACATTCATATATGCTACCTTGCTTTCACTCAATTGTCTGTGTCTGTATTAAAAGCCAACTCCTCCACTTGTGTGCATTGAATTTCATTCCACCCCATCTTGACTGCTCAAGGACATCTTTCTAGAAAACTCCCTCTATTTCTCCTTCAGCACCAATTCATAACCATACAAAAAGTGATCTAACCTTTTAAAAAAGCTATCTAAACTTACCACTCCTCCCACTGATTTTCCTTTACAGCAAGACTTCTTGAAAAGAGCTGTCAATGGTCACTGTGTTCAATTCCTCTCCTGCCATTCTCCCTTGAGCCTATTGCAAGCAGTCTTGCTTATAATATTCCACAATAATGACTCTCTTCCAGGTGAACAATGACTAGGTCATTGCTAAATCTAAAGATCGGTTTTCACCTATGAGCAGCGTTCAGTATGGTTAACCATTCTTTTTTTTTTCCTTTAAACATTTTCCTCATGTGATTCCAGTACACTACCATCTCATGTTTTTATTCCTGTTTCACTAGCTACTCCTTATCACCTTTGCTAATTCTTCATCTTCTCAGCTTCTAAATGTTGGTATTGCAGAAAAAAAAAATATCTTCTCCATTTAAACGGAGTCATGATGGCAACAAAGTTTGAAAAAGAGGTTTTTTTTTCCTTTCTTTTCAAGTTTCCTTTCAAGGCACTCAGGGTTTTAATTTTTTTTCTCCTTTTTCTTTACTATATGTATCATAGTTCTCAGTTTTATAAAATTTTGGAATAATTTTGTTTATTTAATGTTCCTCTACTAGTATTTTACCAG